TATTTTATAAATTATATTTTGACAAAATACCTAGGTATAGTAGAAAAAAGATTATCATTTTTTTTTTTTTTATTTGATTCAGAAATGCGTTCACCACGCTTATCTTTCATAGGTTCAGTACTGAATCTTCAAGAATCTATATTCTATTATAAAGTCAATACAATCTATCATCTTATTAGGTAAGAAAATGTTTTTTAAAAACAGACTTTTTATATTTACTAATATATTATTGTAATTTAAAAATTGACGATATGATTAAAAAGTCATGATCTGTCATTTGTTCTCAATGTTTAAAAACAGCTGCTATCTTTTTTAATTTTGTATTATAGTTTTAATCACGTTTTTCAGATAAGTGTGTCCGCTGAAGGGTCGGAAATAATAATAATTATAATTACAAAATTGTATTTTTTATCTCATATTTCCTGGACGACACCTGTTGATTAAAACCAAATCAGTTTCAAAAATATGCATTTAATAATCACTTAATTAATCGTTATTTTTTAAAGTTTCTTCCCAATTTATTGTACATCAATGAGTTTGGTTTTAAATTGAATTTTATTTGTAATATTGATGTACCTTACAATATTGTTCATAAAAAAAATAATATTCTATCACTTAATTGCTTTAATAACTTTTTAATTAACGTCGTTGTGGTTTTTTTTCAACAGATTTCTGATAAACAGTGTACCATTTTAAATACGTTTCTTTATGATATGCACTTACATATTTACGACTATTTATTCAAACTATAAAGTAATTCTCTACCCATTTTAATTTCTTAATGATGCTACGAAATGTGTTATATTAAATTGAATTGTGTTTTAATTGCAAATAAATTATTAAATGTAAAATTAAATATTAAATCTGTCATACAGTATCAAAAAATAATAAAAACATACCCGAAACAAATAAAACTAAAAAAAATGTATTTTATATATATACCAATTTTAAGTTTTATTTTGAAATTAGCACAAATAAATTAATTTAAATATGTTAAGTTATTTTAATATAATAACATGATATAATAATATTAAGTTGTCACCGAGTTGTTATATAATTATATATTAATTTATAAATAATATTAAATTTAAATAAATATTGTATAATGTACTAACCTGTAAAAAATAGATCCAAATTGTCATTTCTTGATACTTTTATATTTTTGATATGTACTCACTATTCGATATTAAGTATTTTTTAATTAAAATAAAATGTTTATTATGATGTGTGTTAGATAACACAATACAATACAAATTATATTTTTATATCGTTATTTTCAACTTAATGTATTATTCTACAACGTTTTAATTAGGTTCTTGTATTTTAATAGTACATCTTATATAGTGCATCTTTCAAATAAAGATTTATGTGATAAATAGAGTAAGACAAATGTTAAAAATGTGGTGAACTCTTATGAAAAATGGAACTAGCTAGTGGAAATGTGCATAATATAAAGCGAAAAATTGGTTCCGATTCTGCCGTCAGACAAGGTTGAGCTCAAAATAATATATCACTTCGCCGACGTATGATTAATGTGTTAATTCGTTTTTTCTTGTGCCATCACGTTTCCCTGTCATGGTTGTTATTCAAAATCGAACATTCTCTACCATGAAAAAAAGATTCGATGCTTGTATATTATAATATAACAATAAGCGGAAAAACTATAGATGTTGTTTTTTTTCCGGTTCCTTACGCCCCAAAAGACTCGAACAAATTGAACAATTCATTTTAACATAATTTATTTTATTTTCACAGGATATAAATAAAAATCCAACAAAATTGTTATAATTTACACAAAAATAAAAACGTACAGTCACGATTCGATGTACAATATATTCAGGCTTATAATAAATTATTATAATGATTATATCGGCCAAAATGGCACTATGTTCTGTTATAATATTAGGTATGCTAAAATATTTGTTTAACCAATATCACAAGGCGATAATAATATTTGTAAGTTTCTCGTCGAGATTCATTTATACTTTGATGAAACACAATTTAATTAATTAAAAGTTGTAATAATTACACATGCATAACATAAATCGTTTAGTAAAAATAATAACGTACTAAAATGTATGCGTATAGAAATCATGTATATATAAGTAATTAATAACAATAAATAAAACCCAGCCATTGATGAATTGTTTCTTCATAATTGTATATTTAAAATAATATTTTTACATAATACTCGTACTTACAATGGAATGGAATTTGTACATATTGTTTTAAACACAATCAAACATTTAAAAAAAAAACTTATTTAATTATTTTAAAATATGATTACACCATCGTTATAATAATAATAATAATTTATAAAATAACAGTATTATTACATTTAATAAATACATTGTACTTTTATCATTAAAAGTACGTAGGTACATGTTTTCGGGTAGAGACGCATACACGACGTGTACGTCTACTCTGTCTGAAACATATCGGAACACCGTCCCGGAAGATTATTTGACGTAAGTAATCATAAGTACAGTTATTGTTTTTTTTTGTATTGTCATTTTATAATAATTAAAATAATTATAATCACGGAACTATAATAGATGTGTTTGACATACCTATACAGATTAATTACATGTAAATGTATTTAGTTTTCGATGTTGAGTTTCGTTACCAGAAAATCGAATAAAAGCCTTTACTTGGCGTCATTAATGTTGTATTTAACGCATTATGATTTAAAAAAAAATTGTTTTGTCAGTATTTCTCTGTGTGTAGTTAGCTACGTAATATCTAATATTAAAAAAAAAAATTTTGGATACCAGTCGTTAAAAAAAAAAAGTTTCCAAAGGGTGGGTTAAGTTTTTAACTAATCGGTTCAACGAGTGCACAAAAATACACTCAGTTTACAGTTAATGCCCTTGATGCGTATGTTTTTTTTACCTTATTACACCCTTTTTACTGGAAAAAATAAAGAAGTGTATTAATATTCTCAAGACTATTATTCTACATCGAGTATTGGTAAATTGAATAATGTTCCTACCGTTAAAGTTTACTTATTTACGGGTTTCTCCCTCTTTTTAACATGACGTGCATTATTCATTAAATACGTTTACTGCAACATGATAATATATAAATGGAGTTTTACTAGAGAACTGACTAGAGAACCTAATATATATAATATAGTTTAATCTTTTATACTCCGATTCGAAAAAATCATATAATATTGAATATTTTTTTGAACAATTAGTCATCTTTTTTTTTTTGAAGGAAGAAAATCTCAAAACACATTCATGTGAATAAAACGTGGTCTCAAAGCGTTGTCATATAAATTAAATAATTGCATTCTCAATGACGTTAAATATTTAACTAATAAAAAAAAAAAAAATAATATTCATACCTGTGTCACGATCAATTAAAGTATATCGTAGAGTGTACTTTGTAAAACAGCGTAAAATATGTATGGTACAGGAAACATAATCGTTTATGAAATGTATCATAGGTACAAACTATAAATAACTGCTGTAAAATTGTTGTAGACGAATAAAAAAAAAATTTAAAAAAAATTATAAATTATAAATACAAGAGTACAATAAAAATTCATACTGTTTTTGTAGTGACGCAAACTCAAATAATACATTTCAGGTTTATGAATTTTAAATAATACGCTTGTAATCAAACACAAAGTTTGTTTGATGATTTTTATTAACTGATTTTGTTTTAAAGTGTCTCCAAATACTGTACATATTATTATCGTGTTTGACGAAACTTGAACTGCTGAACACAACTGACTTGTTCAAATAATTTTGGTAGATACAATATTTTTGGGAAACATACTAAATTGTGTTAATATGTTTAGAAAATAACTGATGTATAATAATTCTTGTAAATGTGTGAAATACTTCAAATATTTGATACCGGGAACATGGTTTAATTAAAACCGTATCCAATGAACCAAAAATTGGTTAATACTGTTTACATACGGATATCATGAAATACAAACCCTCGAACAATTTTAAGATAGTAAACTATATATTTGTTTGGTATGCGGAATATTATTGTTAGCCATCAGTTAAGAACTTCTATCGAAACAAAACAATTTCGCAATCTTTTGTGATGAAACTAAAAACATAATATTAATAATATTATATTATGTACAACCTAACCATTACGTTACATTATTTACTTCAGTTAAATGTTAGTCGAAGTTTCATGGTTATGATTAATAATAGTTTTAACTTTTAAGTTATGATATAGTATCTAATAAACTTAACATTGGATGTTTTAACAATAATGTTTTGAATCTATGTGAACTGGTTAATTTTTTTACACTTATAGAAAATATTGGCCGATCATTAATATTGCTTATACACCTAAAAGCCATTTTTTTTTTTCATTGCGACTTTTCCATTTACGATATTATGGAGTATCATACATATGTTAATAAATTAAAAAATTGTTTTTATTTATTAGGTTTCCAAAAATTAAAATATTAATTTCTTAAGTTTAAAAAAAATCCAATAACTGTGTAAAATAATTATGTCAATTTTTCTTTCGTTTAATTTACTATATTTGTCTTTACTTTTCCTGTGATAATATTCAAATTAAACATTTGATATGATTACTTACGTATATATGGAATATAGATAGTTTTAAATAATATTTTATTGCAATTATGGTATCATTGATTGATGAAAAAGTTAGGTTTTCTTTACTTTAGTTCTAATTTAGTAAACATTTTTCGGAGCTTATTGAAACGAATAGTTCACAAAACTTCAATAAACATAAACATTAATAATTCTTTCATATTTAACAACACGGAAAATGTAATTTAAATATTTTAAAAGCTTAATTTCACACTCGCCTGTACAAAATAAAATGTTAATAAACTTACGCAAACAAACTGATAATAATTATTTCTTTTTTTTACTGTATTTGTTTGTTTTTAGTTTTATATACATCGATTAGTATAATATGATAGTGACGTCACTGTAATAGTATAATACATCATAATCATTATATTATTTACATTGAAGACATAATGTATAATTATTATTAGCATGATGGAAAAAATAATATAATATTTATATAATAGTAGTTAAGACCCACTAATTTCCAGTCCATTTTAGCTTAACATTTGTAAAAGCATATAGATTATTGTAAACATAGCACAATTGGAGATGGCGAATGACCCAGAAGTCGAGCTACGGACCCCGTGTTGCATGGCCGCCGGTACTTCAGCTAATAAAACATAAAACAAAAAGGAAAAGTGTGTAACATTATAATATAATATTATTCACATTAAAATTCGAAAATATTGCATTTTATTATTACATTATATTATAATTTCGTGTAAGAGCGTAGAACAACGTTTATGAGTGAACGAGTCATATATTATAATGTATACTGTTCGACACCTCTCTTAATTCGTTTAAACATAATTTTAGCCCAACATGCAATTTGGTCACTAAATCGCTCCATTATGTCTTAAATCAGCGATATTTCTCGCACAGTGTATAATTATTGTTTTCTCTGACACAAACGACAGTAAAATTTCATTAGTGCACGAATAAAGTTAATTATTTTTACGACCTTATAATTTGTTGTATAGATTTTATACCTAACACATTATTTCATGTAAAATATTTCTCTAAGACAAATCAATAAACTTTATATCTATGCAATTAAAACGATTTAAATATTGACAAATAGTAGTGTATCATAGTTTTAAATTTTCGAATACTATTACACTCTTTCCATATCAAGAAAAATAACATATTATACTATTTAGGTACAAATTTTTAATAATATATCAATCAAACCAACACTTCATGATTGATCGACATATTTTACACATATTTTGAATATATTATGTTTTTTTCATAATATAAGCTTACTCTTAGTAAGTTAAATTTATTATATTTGTTACTCGTTACACGTATGTCACATAACACCTCACTAAATAAAATTAATTGATTACAACATAATAATTGTGTATGCAAATTCAGTGTATGAATAAATTATCAGAATGTATGTTATAATTATGAAGTTTGATGTTTTGATATTAGGTACGTACCAAGTAGTGGTAGTTTGCATTCAATGCGACAATGTTTTAATATTAATTTAGTATAAAATATGAAATGAAAAATGTGATAACAAGTAACTCTTCTATTTCATACTCTATGTACCTACGTTTTACTCTAATATACTAGCATTATTGTAAATTTGTAATTTTTTGACACATATTTATGACTTAAATTTCAATACTATAACCGGTCATGATCAGATTCATGTATATTTTTTAGCACCAAAATTACACAAAATCAAACTAATTCAAGTCATCCATAGTTGTGATCACAATATAGTTTAACTACCATAGTTTAATTGTGTTAAATATTCATGAATAAATTAAATTGTACTAGATAAATAATGTACGTCTTACTGTTTCAAATAAAACTATTATTTTCAATGAAGTTTAAATTATACATATTATCATATAAATGTGTATAAATTAAAACGCACTTAAGTTAAGAACAATATGTAAGCAGTTTAGAATTATATTTGAAGATAAATAAAATAAAATGCTAAGATTAGATCATTTTAATATAAAAATTACTGAAATAAATATTTATAATATTATGTATTTAATAGACCTGCGGTCTTTGACTAAATTTCCAATCACTTTTAGCTACTATTTATTTTTTGCAAGACATATAATGTATTAAAAAAAAAAAAAGCTGATTGTTAAAAACTATTTTACGTATATGGGTAAAACCCGCCAATTTTTAATTAATTTAGTTTTACTATATTATTGTAATTATTTTATTTGTGTTTTCGTATAATTGAATGAAATAAATGTTTACTACATTTTTTTTGTTTAACTATTAAGAATTTTTATAAATATAATATTTTATAGTCTCTTAAAAAATACTTGAGACAAATAAAATATTAAAATGCGTATATTATGATATTTATTTTAGTTCAAAAAATCAATGCTTTGAATACACCTACTAGGTAGATAATGTTAAAAACTAGAGCCAAATTATTATTAAGTTTTATATTATTTTATGACGTACATATCTATAGTTTGTTTTTCTTTAGAAATAAGGTGTCTTAAAAAACAAATTAAGAGATAGATGCTTAAATTCTGACATGATTATTTCTACTTAAATTGAATTAAATTGCAAAATGAGAATTACTTGGCGAGGATTTTGAAAAAACATAGTAATAGATAAACCGTGTAATCGGAGTTGCTAGTTATCGCTATTCGGTCGAGCTGAAAATTGAACGCAGCTGATCCGGTGGATCAACTGGATATTTCCGCGCCAAAAAATTCTTACTAGAGAGGTAGGTATGTCTATAGTTATATGTATGTACAGCCTTTTGCGTTACAATAAAACATGTACTGAATGTAAAAACGGAAATACGAACATAAACCAATATATTTTGAGATAAAAAATATAAACTATTGTGCCTATCAATAATAACTAAATAACGTGTACGAAATCTCAGAGCCATTTAATTAATTGGTTTCAATGAAATTCAATTACTGTTAATTTTGTATGATTACTTGGTAACAAAAAATATGTTAGATTATTTATTTATTTGGTAAAACATAATGATTAACCTAATAATACAATAATATTGATAAAATAATACAGTCATGCATTTGAAAGTAACTATTATTTTTAAGTTTCATGACTATTTTAAAATAAGAAGAATAAATATATTCTATAATATTAAGTGAAACTTTTGAAACCAATGTAAAATTAGTATTTGTGTATTTTGCTAATAATATTTTGTTAAAATGTCTTATTAATATAATTTATTATGATTGTTATGACATCTGCCGAGTTCACTCGCAGTGTTTGTGATTATTAAATATGAAAAATTAAATTTGAAGAACTGTAAAATTAAATGTAAAATATAAACAAATAAAAGACTGAAACGAAGAAAAATAGCCGGTACTTAGAATAAAAATTGCTGTACAATTAATTAAAATGGTGCCTATATACCTATATAGGTATCTTAGAAAACTTATTTCAACATTAAACCAATTCATTTTTTGTTTTTAATATTCATTTCTCGTGAAACGAAATCATTTTTGTTAATTATGCTATCTAGAACTGTCTAATCAATTACGGTGCAGAAAGTAATAAAAAATGTACTGCCGTACCCACTTCTGGAGGGTAGTTACACAATAGATAGGACCATAAAAGTCATATAACCAATTGAAGAATTAGAAAAAAAAAATATTATTTATTTCTCGAGAACGCATATTATCTGTCCCTACATAGATACATAACCATGTCGTTTCGTCGTGTCAGTTACGAGAATATTGGAAGTAGGTGCCTATGTGAACCCGTCATGCATTCCACAGTATTATTATTCGATGTACGTATTCACCCTCCTTGGCGTATCAGTAGCTGAACGCATCTGGGAGGGAGGGAAGGCTTACATTTTTCTTTAATAATACCTTCTTGGTACGGAGCGTGTTCCTTTCCAGGGCCCACAATGGAGCGGCTTCTTGAGTTTTTTTTTTATATTGGTAATAATATTTTTATTTTATTTATTTAATGCTAATTTGACAATTTTGTATAATTAAAAAAACCAAAGCTCAACTCCCAAAAGAAATGGAGTGTATTCATGCACCATCCCCCCTCCATCCCTGACCATCGAATACGCCACTTGGAATTCGAACCGGCTTCACCGGCGCCATAGATGTTTACGTTTAATGTTTACATAGTACAATATAATATTATACTAACATTGAAGCACGTGCACGTGAATCGTGGCCGGCGATATGTTTTGTGGTTGACATGTGTAATTGCCGCTGTCCGACGTGTTTGTGTACGGCATAATCAGGTCGCTTTCCGTGCTGTTGATGTGCACGACCAGGCCCCGATCCGTGTCAAAATTGATCATCCGATCGGAATGATACCAGAACACGAACAGCGGGGCTTGCGTTGACCCCTGTAGCCGGCACACCAGTCTTAAGCTGCTGCCGCTCATAATGTACAGGTCCGGTGAGCCGAGGATTTCGGCTCTGGCCTCTGAAAGGAAGAAGAAAAAAAAAAATTCAAAACGCTTATTGCGTGCCGTAGAATTTCATTTATTTTAGAACGCAGAGTATAAAAAGACAACCTCTTGCTCTTATACTCAAAATATATGTAGTGACTCGTCGAGCATGTCACTCCCTTTTATCTTTTAATAATGCATACGTTCAAATTGTGATTTTTAGAATTTTTAAATTTACTTTTCAACCGTATATTTACATTGATTTTTGTATGCCAAAGTGTTTGGATAAGGATTATTTTTAAAATGAGTACCACCCTTATCATAATATGTAAATTACTAAGTGGATGATTTTTTTGAAAATATTGATGTTTTTAAAATATATAAATTCAAACGAATAGTCTCTGAGTTATTAAATTCTGTGTACTAATGATTAAAGTCCTTAAAAAGTGGTCTGCCCTACTAATTTCACTGATCTTGCCACGGACGCCTTTTTATCATACAAACACTCTCAGTAGTCTGCTTATGAACCCGGCTGAGTATCATATGACATATATGATAATTGATAAGTTTTTATAAGAGCTTCTGGAATAGTAACTCCTCTACATATATAGATAAATAAATAATTTCGAAAAATGTTTTGTATCATACCTACTATCATATATGTGATAATCATGACGAAATTGGTGAGTTTAACTGAAATTTGAAGTTCAATAATTGAAAGTCTGACGTGTATGACATAATGTTTTTGTGATACACAAGGCAGTCAATTGTTAAAATCGATGTTATATTAAATATAAAATCTAATACATAGTATTTAATCTTATTTCGTATACTATATTTAGAGAGTTTTTAGAGTTGATATATGGAAACTAATAGACTGATTCAAAATATCTAGTGACGAGTAAAATGAAAATTCAGAATATTGATGCGTAGTTTACTCATGATTCTGTATATTTTGTACATTTTTATATTTTGCTTAAATAGTTTTCGAAGAACTAAAGAACTATTAGGTTACATAAGTTATCATAATAGGTTATGAGTTATTACTTATGAGTCAGTAAACTAACTGCATGTTGTGTGTTATATTTGTTTTTGAACTGTACATCCTCGTGGTATTTTCGGATTTGGCCACTTAGCTTACTGGTAAAGAAACATAAGCTCACGAAATGTTTGAACATAAAATAAAGGTTTATGGGCAGGAATTTTATCGGAAAAACTGAATGAGAGTACGCTTCGATAGCTTCATTCGTAAAAGTGTACAATAGTTCTAAATTAAACTATGAATCAATGTATGCACTGTCAAATATCACGACATACGGATCAATATGTTGTGCAGTTTATGTGTATGTAAGTAAAATGTGGAGTGAACCGCCATATTAGGTATATAATATTATGATACAATATATATTTCGTCATACATATATTTTGCTCTCGTCTTAAAATTTGATAGAATGACACGCCTTCGCTCGATCTCCCGAGAATTTCATATTATCCATCAATGTCAACGCAAACTTAGGAAAACTCGTCCATGTTTTTTGTAGTAGTCATTTTAAATGGATGAAATGGATGAAATGGATGAAATAGTTTGCTCAAACATAAAAACAGTCAACAGTATTATGCCAGGGTCGCTCAAAATTACTGACATCTGAACACACAAATATCTTTATATCAATTAAACACTTTGAATCGTCGTTGATATTTATGTTGTATATAATATGTTGTGTTTAATACAGATAAACCGTAATACGATGAGTTATTATAAATGCATTACACATTCCCCGCCGGTATCTGCTTACACTTAACTTAAAACAACAATTTACTAACCTGTGACTTTTAAATGTACAAAATTGCTAGTCGTTGGATGTGTAGCTATACGACATTCGTATAAACCAGCGTCTGATGCTTCCACTGGTGTTATTTCTAAATTCCACGTCTGAAAAATTGAATAAAATTACATTTAATTTCAAAGGTATCTATCTAAATAGAAATATACAACGCAAATTGCATTTTTTTTAGTGAAAATACTTAAATTTTAAACTCTTTTAGATTAATACAAATTTGAATACTGTTGTTTAGCATAATGAATTTCATATTTTGGTAGTGTGATCATTTAACGTAATATCAATGACAGATGCAAAAGTTCGAGTAGAACAATTAATATATAATATATTATACTACACGAATTATTCAACAAAAATTGCTCAAAATATTTCTATTTGAATAATTAAATATTCATAACACAAGTATATTGACTTAACATTGCATTAATATTAATGGGAGGATCATTTCGCAATTAGTTTCAATGAATTTTAAGTTACGAAATTCAATACTGAGAGATTGATGAATTATTTAACATATTTCAGACATCAATGATAAAATATTTGTATTCTTCAATATGATGCCGATTACCGACAATTAATACAATAAATGATGCCATGAGGATAAAATAAAATATAATATAATATTTAACATTCAGTTAATTAATTTAATTCAACTAAAAATATTCGTGTTTCAATAGTATAAAGTCGATACTTAAATGCAAACTTCATACATTTCCAAGACATTATTTTGAAATCCTGGTATTTTGCATTTAAGGTAATAATTAACTAAAAACTAAAAACATAATATTTTGTTTGTGTTTAAAGCTCATGTACTAAATTAAAATTATTTTCTCAAAAACTATAAAATAGATAACCGTCCATACGGAGAAAATATAAAACAAAATATATTTTTATTGCCAAACGTTTTTTGGGGGTCATAATGTCATAATGTTTTTATTCCCTCGGAAACATATTTTGAGGCAGTAAACGAGTGTTATAAAATATTGTTGCGGCCATGTCAATTGATTTAAAATTGAATAGGTAGCTGTTTTAAAATTGCAGTCTGATAATAGCTATAAGCGATAAGTGTTTCCAATACATCGGGACATTCGGATTTAATTTAACAATACATGTAAGCAGACCAAAACTTTAGCAATTATCCCATTACATAGAGGTACACATTACGTACTCTTTAATTTTTTTTTTTCGGAAATGAGGTTGAAAAACAATACTTAAGTATCCAAAATAGCTGTATCTTACAGCAATTTAATTTCCTTTGAAAATAGAATATTGGTGTTAAAAGAAAAACTTTAATGGATTAAAATTAAATTAAGTAGAAGATAAAAAAGTCGTGTTCAATATTGATTATTTGCATTTTTTTAAGAAATTAATTTTGAAATCCAAACTTAAATTTGAATTTTATTTCCTTAGGTGTTTGTTTTTGTTTTTATTTTTCTTACTGGTTATTGGCCAAACATTTTCATACCATATTTTTTATTCAAATTAAAATAATATTAATCAACATATTATAGAGTTAAAATGTGTATTTATTTTGCAGGCACTCCTTCATAAAATCATTGATTATTCTGTTGGTTAAATTAATACTTAAAAACTACAAGAGAACAATGAGAAAAAAAAACTTAAAAATAAATACTTCTAAATATATATTATATTTATTTACAATATAAATCATGTTACCAAGCCCATTTCGACTTATTTAACGTAAAGCTTACACATTAACGTGTTAATCATATTATTATGAATGTATTAAAATGACCATATTATCGTTGTATACTGTGTGTAAGTACAAATATTTAATTTAAGACCCATAGTGCAATCCACAATTAGATGTTATACCCAAAAAAATAGTTGATAATAGAACAGATACTGCACAAATAATATGTACTTATTAATGAATACGATTTAAAATGTTGACATAATGTCTATAATATTGTAATAAATACTACCTATATGTTCTAAAATACTTATTTTTTAATTAATATTTTACATTTATAGTACTACATACTATCATTCAAAATATGCTATGCCATTCAGATATTAAAATACTCTTAGGTATATATTATCTTATGAGAAATAATTGAGCATAATATAGAAGTTTTTATGCGTCTTGAATCGATATTTCTTTGTTTTGAGAACTAATTGATTAATTTCATGAGATCGATCCTTGCAGTACAATCAAAAATAAATAAACAATTATTGTGTTTTGGGTGGAGAATGAATACTTTATATATATTATATATATATATATATATAAGTATATAAATATATTTGGATCATCGTTTTTCCACCCTGTATGAAGTAGAAGTAATTTATTGTTTTTAAACTAAAAAATATATTTATTGTTATGGACTTATATAAAGGGGTTATAATATTATAATTTATTAGTTATATATATATACACACCATGTATTCCAATACCATACAACATTCATTCAAACAATTCTAGTGTAATTTATTATTGTACTACGTCAACCATATGAAAATTATAAAACATAAATAAATTCACGAATAATAATAATTGAATAATTTATTTTAGCGTTTTAATCGAGAATCAAATTATGTATAATACACTAAAATAATGAGTGTTAAATTGACTATACAATCTATATACATAATATATAATTTTCTTGATTTTTATTGTTTGAATTGTATTTTATAGTCCGTAAATATATAAAGCAAAAATTATATGTTTATTATAAATTAAATAACCAAAACTGAATTGTTTACTTAGAATTTTTTGCGTTCGGATGGAAGGCTATAAAAATACAGATTATAATCTTGAAAAATAATTATTTTTAATGGAAAAAAAATTCAACAATGAATTAGATATACATAACAGCGTTCTAAAAATATTTACTAGTATATTATATTTATAATAACTTTTTTTTGATTGATCTAAACATTCTAAACTAAACCATTGGAATTTGATCGGCTGATAAGCTTATGAATATAGTAATTAGTAATATCACATATTTGGTTTTATATATTACTTAAAATTGAATTGAATTTAGTTGTTTATGTTATATTTATTAATTTTAAATACAACGTATGTAAAATAATTAAACAAAACATTTTCATACACATTTCCTAACAATACTAAACGTTAATAACCTAACTATAATTTGCCAATATTATGTTTGGTTCAGAGCTTAAATTAATAAAAATATATGCATAATTTTTATATTTTGAGGTATTTAAATCTCTTACAATTTTTTTGTTTAACGTTATTGAACTTTCAAATATTATTTGATTTTTTCGCTTAACTTTATTATATTTTTAAACGTTATTTTAATTTTGTCTTTTGTCCAACCATTTATTGCAGTTTTTGAAAAGGTTAGTATCTTTTTAAAGTTTTAAAATACTTACCTACACAATTATCGTTATTCAGCCAGTAATTTATTTAAGCCAATTAATTTAAATTTAAAAATTATGATAAATCGAATTTGGTCCATGGTGGCATTAAAGTAATAAAACCGAAACAATGAGTTTTACCTATTCTTCCATTGTTTCGTGAAATTAACATTAACATTACTTTTATTTTATTTTTATTTAAATGTCTATGTAAATTTTATAATGAAGCAAACTAATTTATGTATCAACTACTCTGAGATAGGAGCAGTAAGCATTAAGTAGTCAATAATACTATAATAGTTATTCTATTTATGTATATAAAATTAATTAGTTTTACATTATGTTATGTGATTAATTAATTTTCCGAAATGTCAAACTTAAATAATTTATGGTATATTTTTTTGTTTACTTGAATATAACATCAAACAAAGGCGGCTTTATAATATTATTATAAGATTTGACAGTGTATGTTTATAATATTTACATATTGATTTTTATAATTATAAATAATAATTAGGAATTATTTGTATATTCAAATAGGGGGTACTAGAAAAGTAGGTAACTGGCAGCCGGCTATTCTTTACAGTATAATTTGAGTGTACCTCGTCATTGAGTAGACACTGTCATGGATTTTTTAAATTTGAATTCAATAGTAAATAATTGATGAAAAACGTTTCCGAGCGAAAATGGTCTAACTTTTTGATAACTAACATAACTAAATAAATATTTTAATAATAATATAAAAACTTTAACTTATGTTCTTATTTTTTTCATCCAAATATTTTTAAATGTACTGAGAATTTTCAACATTCATCTCATAAATATATCAACTAGATCTAATTTTCTGCTAGAAACCTCCACCAAAGTTGACAACCAAAGTATTTTTTCTAGTAGAACAAGTGTCTTTACACATGAAAATAAAAGAACAGACACCATTGTATAATCAACACTCATTCATGGCTCTGTTTAGAATCTGAAAACAATAATTCTACTGGCCTCGTTGATATTTCTGCAACATTACCCTAGAATTGTCTGAACACGCTTATACGTCCTAAATTTATCTTATTCTTTATTCGGTTCTTCAAAATGCTCAGTAATTTTTAAAATAATCGAGGAGTTCGAGCATTCATTAAAATACTAAGTTTATTATTAAAATAATTGTTTAGTAACCTCAATGTTATGATGATTTTATTTAATATTTAAGACATTTACACATTCGTAATGGGCTCGATTACGAGGTAATTTGACAACTACCGTACAGTGTATACAGCAAAGTAGTTATCTACTTGACGTCTTTATTTGTATTTCAAAATACAGTATTCATTAAAATTGTTATTTTCGTTTAAATACCTATCTAATTTTGTCAAATTTTGAACTCTCAAGGTACACTCAAAATGTATTATACATCAGATCGAACTCCTCTGTTTTATAAATTTAAAGCTATAGGTTTTAATATAGGGATACAAAATTTAACAATTATATAAGTAGAATTACAGAGAGGTTTTATCAAATATTGTTTTTGCATTTATATTTATTATACTCGATTACAAAATTAGAAAAATTGTATTTTACTATCAGGTACTTACTTAAAATTCATAAGTTATATTTAAATAAGTAAATTTTTATGTCACAATCTCATTAAGTACAATAATATTATAACCTAGTAGAATATCATTTTTTGTGATGCTTATAATTATTTCATTTTAAATGTATACTGAATGTATTTTTTGAAAGAGTTGTA